TGAGCATCATGATGCCTAACTTTTAGATGCCTGGAAAAAGTCTGGGATTTACAAAGCTAGAGTTTGGTGCCTAGGCGCCCTATACAATGAATGGGGAGAGACAGACACCTCAGAAAGGGATTCACAAAAGGCAGCATGCTAGGAAGCTCCCCACCTAAGCTAACCAATGGGAGATACCAAGGCGAGGGGTGTGTCCTAAGTCCCATCCTCTCAGGGAGTTCAGCACCTACATCTGGGCCGCAGAGAGGCACCTCCTTCTGCTTGGGTTTCTCTGCTGCAATCCCTGTATTGGTGATAGGCACCTATGATGTTTTTGCAAGAAGCTTCAGTGGGATGGGAGGAAAGGAGGGCTTCAACAGGAGAGACTGAGGGGACCCCCACCATCATACTATTCTATAGCCCAGTTGTTAAGGCATTCACATTAGAGGTAGAAGAGCCCTGTTCAAATCCCCAGTCCCTTTGGGTGGAGGAGGGACTTAAACCAGGCATCTTCCATTTCCCAGGTGAGTGTCCTAACTACTGCACTAAAAAGCTATGAGGGATTGATACTCTGTCTCTTCCTCTACCCGCTCCCTGCAGGTCTTTCAATATGGCTTTGAAAGCATCCAAGGAAAATGTTTAATTGCCTTACATTTAGTTAATCTGGAACGAATAAAATATCAAAATTCTGAATGCAAAACCAAATTTTCATTGCAAATCCTTTTCTTTGGATAATTAATGTTATTTTATTCCGACATGCAGGGCTTTAGTTTACAGTGTAAATGAATGTGCTGGAAGGTTCCTTTTGAAACTATTGCAAGGCTGAAGAGATTCATATTCAAATTGCCACCTTTGTTTAATTATGCAGAGGTCCAACATGTCTGTGCACTTTCAATCATAATTAAATATGCATAATTTCATCAATGTGCATTTTACCTCTTAATTTCTCTTTCCCTGTGCTACTATGTTCAACTTTGGAACTATTATTCAAATCTCTCCACTGGCTCCCCCTTGCCCATGAAAAGAAGAAGAGACTAAGATTAAATGTACTTAAAAAATCTAATTAATACTTTTCTCTGAGTCTCCCAGTTCCTCTCTTTTTTAGCCATCTCTCTCTCTTTTAGACCCTGATCTCACACATGCTAAACTTTAAGTAATGGTACTACTCACAAATTTGAAGTCCAGGGGTAGTTAGATGGTCTACTAGTTAGTGCACTATCTTTCCTCTGAAGCCAAGCATACATTTAAATTGACCTAGGCTGCTACCCTGTACCATGTTAACGCATTTTTACAGCTAGGATAATTAAACAATAGGGGTGGAAGAGACAATCTCAAAGCAGTGCAGGAGCAAGCTTTTCTCGCACATTTCTCATTAATAAATAATAGAATTTATGCATGAGCCACCATCAAACCACTGTGAAAAACAAACTTTGCCTTATTAGTGCATGATGCTACTATACAAGATGGTACATTGTGCTTCACTTTTTATTCTGCATACATACAAGACTGTTTTAATGATCAGGATCCGATATGTCACCGCAAGGTACAATACATTTGTAATGTGGGGGGATTATTTTATTAAGCACTAAACAAAATAGCATCCAGCATAACTGCTGAAAAATATAGTGTTATACTTAATACAATTGTATTGAAGTAACAATTATGAAATTAGATTGCAGATTTTATTTTCAGTGTCAAAAAATTAAATGTTGTGTTACAACATATTTTTGTAAATATGAAATATGGCACAAACAAGAACTAACTTCAACCGTCCATGCTTTTTTAAACGTCTTTGATGTTATAATATACAGTTAACTCAAGCATTCTTGTTAGACCTTAACTAATAAGTAGAGGATTAGAGTTGTAGAGCTCAGAAAACTGCATCTATTCAAAAAGATTTCTTTTTACTGTGGTGATTGGATGATATAGAGACTGAAATGGAAAGGGGCGAGGAAGAATTTGAGGTGTGTAAAGCTCCTAGGCATGGAGATCAGAAAGACCTGGATGATTCCAAAGAAAAAGGGGGTATTGGACAGGCCTAATTCAGTTGGGGAAAGAGATCAAAGAGGTGGGTGGAGGAATTACCTCTCTTGGTAATTCCCTCTTTTGAATCAGAGAACATATACTGCTATCTGCATCAAAAAAAGAACAGTCGCACCAACATCATGCAGGAAAAAAAAGATAGCAAGCTGGCAGCTGCCGGAGGAAAGGAAGACGATATGGACGTTCTTAAGAGTATCCACTGAGAGCCTTATTGAGGTCACAACTAGGGAATTGTGAGGACAAAGATGGGTTCAACAATGTAAAATAGCTCAGCCGAATACATCACTGTATAGTAAGCAAGAAACGTATGAGAACATATAATGTTGCATACATTCATGCTTGAAAAGTTCACATAGATGACAGCAGAAAAGTACTTGCAGTACAACAAGCATAAACAGATTTCTTTGTTGCTAAATTTATCGTGTATTTGCTGTGATTTAATAAAACAGACAGGAAACCAAGCTGAATGGCCATCTCGTGGCTTTTCAGCTGTAATATAAATAGCCCATATGGGTTATCCGGGAGTTATTTGACCTGACTTGTCACAATACACAGGATCTTGCTATGTTATTGTCAACCTACAGCTGGCATGAATGGCATAACATTTAGAAAAATGTACAATGATAAATCTGCAATGAATCATCCAAAATAGGGAATATGGGAAATATGACACCATACTTACCAGGAAAAATGTATGGATGCCATGGATTAATCTGTGAAACCTTCAGCTTCATTGCATGAGTTTCATAAAAAAGGCAAATAAAACACTAGGTTATAATAGGCCGAGGGCTAGACTCTAAATCAAAACATATATTACCATGACAGGCAGCTCAAAAAAACGGCATCACAACTTTAATATTAGCTAAATGCAGTTTTTGAGTGTTAACATCAGCAAAGATCATATTGTGTTAGGGCCTTACTAATACCATCAAGCACCCCCTAATGCAGTGACTCTCACACTTTTTGTGCTGGTGACCCCTTTCACACAGCAAGTCTCTGAGTGCGACCCCTCCTTAGAAATTGAAAACACATTTTAAATGCTAAATTTATAACCCTATTGTTTAAAATGAATCTGCCTTTTCTCACCTCTTTTAAATTAAGACTAAAACACATTTTTATCAAATTACTGTTATAAGCAGAACAGTTATTTTTTAAATAGTTACTGTTTAGTGCTGGGGGGGGGTGAAGAAACTTTTCACAGAAGACTTAGTGCCCCATTGCCACCCTTAATTCTGTGCTGCTGCTGATGGTGGCGCTGTCTGCAGAGCTGGGTGCATGCATGGGCTTCGGCTGTCAGCCAGGCATGGGATTGATAGCTGGAGCCCAACCGCCCAGGGACTGACAGCTCGCAACCCTTAGTTTGAGAACCCTTGCCTTAATGCAGGGGTCGGCAACCTTTGGCACGCGGCCCATCAGGGTAGTCCACTGGTGGGCCACGAGACATTTTGTTTATGTTGACTGTCCGCAGGCACGGCTCCCCGCAGTTCCCAGTGGCTGCAGTTCGCCATTCCTGGCCAATGGGAGCTGCGGGAAGCGGCAGCCAACACATCCCTGTGGCTTCCCACTGCTCCCATTGGCCAGGAACGGTGAACCGCGGCCATTGGGAGCTGTGGGAGGCCGTGCCTTTGGTCGGTCAATGTAAACAAAATGTCTTGCGGCCCATCAGCGGATTACCCTGATGGGCTGCGTGCCGAAGGTTGCTGATGCCTGCCTTAATGCATTATGTTGTTGGATGGACAGGAATTCACTATGTTTCTGTGACAAGGTGAAAGTCTCATATTATTAGGCATCACATAATTTTAGATTATATTGTTGATATGTTTTCTTAATATCTGCCAAAAATAATAATAATTTGCTTTGCTGCAGAATGAAAAGAAAATGTGAGTGAACAAGATACAGAGTAAACTCTGGTACTGAAATTAGCCCATAAGTGCTAAAGATTTCCCCAGGCCTTATTAAGAATACAGAGTATACACATTCAGCCTTGGGTAAATCTGAGCTACTTTGTATAGACTTCTCAGAAAATAGCAGACCTTGCAGGGGGTTTTCAAAGTAATAATTTCAAACATTTGAAGCAAGACATTTTTTAAAAAAATGTTGTTCTCTGCCATCAGTGAAACAGCTGGTTTGCACAGTAGCCACTGAGAGAAAAGACCCTCATAGCATGGCCTGTGTTTGGAGTTTGGACATATGGTTTGGGCAGAATTGGCCATTCAATGTTTGGACCCTGTTTTGGGATGTTTGTTATTATGGACCTTGTTGGCGAAATAGGATGGATCCAGTTGACTGGGCCAAGTTGGACCTCTCCACATGATTAGTGGCTGTAAAAGGCTTCATATGACACACTCCTTTTCCTGCTTTTCTGCCTTCCTGCCTGTCAGCAGCTCAGTATGCCAATCTGCCCTTCCAGAAACTGGGGAATGCAAGTGACATCATCTGTTAGTCCCGTTAAATATGGGCAGCTGTTACTGTGTAGTCATCCATAAGTTATTTTGTATAGTCAGTCATCTATTTTTTGTTTTATAGCAGCATTGATTGCCCGTCATGAATGCAGCTACAAATCCTCTCTTTATGTGTCTGTTTGTCCATCTATCTAGGTAGTTCTGTGGTCCTCATCACGGTGGTATCTTTTTTGTATTTTTCCCTTGCTGCAATACTCTCGTAACAGTAGATGATAGTTACCAATGGGGGCAGGAGCGATGTGTGACAGTTGCAGCTGGAAGCTGTAGTTACATACCTTCAAAGCTTGTGAACACAGCTGGAGTCAGAGGTCTTAAGAAATAGTACTCTCCGTAGAGTGACTACAGCATGACCATCTGCGAATATGGCAGGCACTCCTGCTTCATACAAACATTGCATGAAAAAGGATTATGCCAAGGGTAGAAAGGGTTGCGCTGCTCCAGAACATACTCTTTCCTCTGGAATGGAGGGTCCAGGATTGGTTTTCCCTCCCCTAAAAATATTTGGCAATGGTGTATTTAAAAGATGGTTTACCCTATATAGTCGGATTTGGGATTCCAGCAGATACTATACACCTATGATAGAGTCCTAGGAGCCCCAGTGGGATTGTAAAGGTTGGGTATTGTAGTGGTTCAAGCAAAACAACCTACCAATACCACTTGTTCCAATTATTGAAGGTAAAATTGCAGATATGTTATCCAAAAAGCATGTGTGTGTGTGTTTCAGAGGTGTCATGCCATAGGCAAGCTTAGTTTTTCTTCTGACTCATGGTCACAGTAACAAGACAGAAAGACGGATGAGCAACATAACTGAAGCCAGGGCTTCCAAAGGATATTCCCCCATGATAACTGGTTGGAGACTATGTGCAATGATTTTGTATGGTTGTTTACTGCTTGTTGAATGACATCAAGGATTTCATAGAAACGATGTTCAGTCTCTGGTGTTAGTGGATTCTTCTCTCCGGGGTCTCTGGAGAGATCAAAGAGTAGCGGTGGGTTATGGTGTGTGACAAGTCTTCCAAAGCAATAGCACACGTGGGAATTATAGCAACCGTTGGAGCCTACTGGATCAAAGTTTGGAGTGAAGAAAAAAGCTTTCCAAATAGATTCACCTGCAATTTAAAGAAACAACAGCTGATGATTAGAGTACAAAAAACCCCTTGTGAAAATCAAAATCAAACCACATAAAATTAGTCATTAATCTCAACCTTTACATGTACAGTATTAGTGTACAGAAACCACAAAATACAGAAATAGCACAAAAAGTTTCTTGCAATGTTCCACTCCTATTCGGAGCAATTACAGTCACTTCATATTCTTTATTAAAATGAATCATATACATCTTAAAACCCCTTTCCACTTAATCTCATGCCACCCGTCTGCACAAGAGGTGCACCATAAATATCCACAAGTCATTGCATTACCTTCAAATCTCTCATTACAATGCACTTCTGCCATGATGCCAACAAAATACTGACCATAGGCAGGCAGCTGATGTTCCATGACTACCATTTATTATGCTAATTATAATCATCTCATTGTTACTTTGAGCCCCTCCATCTGCTTGTTGTAGCTACCTGTTGTCTGTAGTCACATACATAGATTGCAAGCTGTTTGAGGCAGGGACTTTCTATTAGATGGATGTAGAATGACCTGCACAATAAGTCCCCCATTTCCTGACTGAGGCCTCTAGGAGCTACTGCAATAGTACTACTAATAATTACACAGATGAAACTGAATTGCAATTGTTTAGGAAATGTGGCAATGTCATCTTTAGGTGACCCACTGCCTTGGCAAATGAGAATCAAATATGTCTTTAATTCTAAATGCGTTGCTAAATGTCTCATTTTGTTGTGTATAGGGAGTAAGTGATATGCACTGATGTGACACAGTTTAATTTTTCTTTTCTTAAAGTATTGTCTGATTTTTTGTTTTTTTGGTTTCACAGAAAGCAAATGTGAACTGATGCAGATGTGGTTTAAGCGCAGATTTATTGGGGAACCCCAGAATGTTCAACAGCAAAGAAGTCTACCAAGAAATGGCTAATACTTTGCTCAAATAGCACAGAGCCCAGTTGTTTGCAGTATTGTTGTAGGCATGTTGGTCCCAGGGTATTTGAGAGACAAGCTTTCAAGTTTACACAGAGCTCTTCTTCCGTCCTGAAGAAAACCTGAAGAAGAGCTCTGTGTAAGCTTGAAAGTTTGTCTCTCTCACCAACAGAAGTTGGTCCAGTAGAAGATATTACCTCACCCACCTTGCCTCTAGACAAGATTGTAACTTTTCATTCTGCCCAGAGTTAGCAACACATAGCTGAACTGCCCCAGCGACAGACCAGAGAACAAATTGCCTCTCAGAGAGTCACAATTTGTCTCCTGTTCTTGCTGGAAAAAAACACACACAAACTGCTAGCTTTTATTTCACAACATTGCATCACTGAAACAATTTTTTAAACAGCTCACCCTTTAAGTGCCAGTCAAGGAGACTTTCTTTTTTTTTTTGCTATTTTCCACATTTCAGGGTAAAGTTAATCTCAGTAAAAAGAGCTTCATTGAGCTCAAAGCAAGCTTTGTTAATCCAGTAACTGGCTGTCATGATTTATATGCAGGGCTACATAATGTGGTGTTCATTAAGCCCCCCAATGGAAATCATTAGGAAATAGGATGAGGGGAGAGATAACCGGTGTATCACTCTAAAAGTGCTAACCACATTACACTTTGCTTTTTAAGATAAGATTAGTCTTTCAGACAGACCTGTGCCAGTGCAAAAAGAGCCACAGAATGAAGGTATAATATACAGCCTGGATTTAAAAGAAAGTAAGTAACCTTAAGATTCTTTCCAGCATCTCCTATCATACATCATTCTTCACAGTACAAGATACATTACCTTTAGGAACTTATTCAGTGACAATCTGACAGAGCCTGGAGGCTTGCAGTTCACTTAGACGGCACTAACACTCAATAATCAGGATCAGGTGGGTGAAGGATATTAGGAGGGGGGAACCTCTGAATGTTGCTTAGAACTCAGCAAAGGGAGAGGATGTTTCAAGCCTGAGACTGACTTGCTTGTGCAGACAATAAGTAGCAGCACCTTGAAAATCTTCAGAGAACTCCCTGACTCCCACCACAGATATTCACAGACTTACAGAGCTGTCAAGTTGTTGCAAAATGGATGCAATCACCTTTCTCTGTGTTTCCAGCATTATTCTGAAAGGCACACTGGTGGCTTTGCTTCGTAAAATATTCTCAGATTTAAATAAATCACAATTCTTCTATATGTGTCTTTGCACAGACCATTGCTCTGAGCAGGGATATGCCTCTATTTACTGTGGTACTTATTTAAGCATACTGGGAAAGGTAGATAGTTCTGTGCTAAGTGTTGCTTCAGGCGATTTTAAGTGTTTAACTGGCAAGATGGATTGGGGGAGGCATAAGGAAGAGAAAAGCTAAGGATTCTATTAATCAGTGATATGTGAGAATTGTAGGTTGTTTAGGATCACACAATGGAGTTATGCTGATTTACCCTAGCTGAGGCTCTGGCCCATAGTATTACAAATCATTTGACGTAAAGATACAGCTGGATAACAGAGGTCAAGAAAAATGAAAATTTACATAGCTATCAAAATAGCAACGAGAAAGATTTTCAATAAAAATATTCATGTGGGGAATTTGAGGAGGTCATGCTGTCTGATCACACATTTGTCTTTGATGGCGCATTTGTGCAGAATGACATTGAAAAGAAATCTGCAGCCAATTCCATCATTGTTGGGCACCATAGCCTGATGCCAGTTCAAGGATTTAGCCATACAAATATTAAGTAGAGTATCCTGAATAATAAAAGCCTTTATTTAGGGTAGCTCAAGTAAATACATATGTTTGCAAAAAAAGAAAAGACGTGGAAACTAAGTAAATAGCACCCTGTTTGTAACACAAACAAGCAAAATTAAGGGCATTCAGTGTTAAAACTGAAACCCCAGCCACAGCTTGCAACCACTGTCTTGCAATTGCATAAGTTAAGGATGGAACGTGAGACACTATATTACATTTGAATTTTCTGGCTTTGGCTAGTCTTAAATTAAAATGATTATGAAGTGTTTAGAAAAGTAACAGCTACACTGCTTCTTAGTGTAGCAGGTGTGTTGGGCAAAACACTGAGCTGAGCAAAGTCTGCTATTGTTTCACGATGTTTCATTTCATTGCAGTGGCATTCTGGTGTGATTCTGGAACATCGCTGTATTGCTGAAAGACAGCAGTGCCGTCTAACTACTGATTTCCAGATCGTTATAAAAAAGTAAAACATATCAGATCCTGTGCCTGTGGAACAGCCAATATAATATGCTGGTAGACATAAAGAGCTGTCAGACTTGTAATCTGTAAAGTTGATAAATTGTATAAGGCTGGATATTAAAAGGAAGAGTACTCTTTCTGCCTCTCTCAGCTGGTATAAAATCTCATTTTGTCAGAGGGCTAGCCACAAGGATCAAATTAATCTCCCAGTAATTAACAATCTCTTTGTTCTACAAAGACATCTGGCTAGTAAAGTCTCATTTGATGTAGGGATTACTACATACCCTTTTCTCTATGGAATCAACAACTAGAATAAAGAATAAGGCTATGGCTGTAGCACCAGGATTCCTCCACAGATAGGCATGCTAGATCCATCCTGGCATGAATTTACAGGGCTTGTACTATTATTAATTAATACTAATTATTTTGTATTGCAGCAGCCCTAGTCATGGAGCAGAATTGCATTGTGCTAAGGTGCTGTACAAAAACAGAACAAAAAGATGGTCCTTACCCCAAAGTCCCCTGGGAGTAACCCAGGTCCCCTGGCATCCAGTCCCCTGGGAGTAACCCCTTTAGTGTGCCAGACCCTTCAGGTGCCAGCAAAAAACGGTTACTTACCTGTAACTGTGGTTTCTCAAAATGTGATACAGACATGTATTCCATGTGGGTGTGTGCTCACACCATGCTCCAGAGCTGAAGAACTTTGCCTTGCAGTACCCATGGGGGTGGCGCTCATACCCTGCATCTGCAGCCCCTCCCCTGGTCATATGAGAGAGATGCCGCCTCACCCCCCTCAGTTCCTCCGCAAAGAATTTCAGGAGTATACACTCTGATACAGACGGAGGGGGACGGAGGGCAGGCCATGGCATACACGTCTGCATCACACCTCAAAGAACAACAGTTACAGATAGATTACCATTTACTCTCAAGCAGTACTCGCAGGAGGTGGGGCTTGGAGTCTATTTAAAGAAGGACTGCAGGATTGCCTTCCCAAAGTTTGCATCTGATCTGGAGGCAGCAGTAATGGCATAGTGGTTTGCAAAAGTATGCACAAGGACCAAGTGACCACCCTGAACATGTGTAATATAGAAACATCGTTTCGAAATGCCATTGACGTCTTCTGAGCTCTTGTGGAAGGAAGTTGTATCCCTTGAGTAGACATAGCCTGGGCTACTTCATATGCTCTCATGATATAGGAAGTTATCTATCCTGAGACTTCATCCAATCTGCATACAAGACAAAAAGATGAGGTAAGAAATGGAAAGGTTTAGTTCTAATCAAATAAAAAGCTAGACACCATCTGACACCCAATATGTGAAGGCACTGCTCCTCTGGGGTCGAATGTGGCTTAGGGAAGAATACTGGTAGATACATAACTTGGATCAAGTGCAACAGGGAAACTAAGATAAAAACAGGATGTGGCCTCAGGTTACTTTGTCTCTGGAAAATTGTATGTAAGGAGGTTCTGCCATCAAAGCCTGCAACTCACACACTGTCCTTGCAGACGCTATTGTCATAAGAAAGGCAGTTTTCTGCCACAGAAGGGAGAAAAAAGTTGCCAGAGGCTCAAACAAAGGCCCCATAAGAGCCACTAAAACAGTATTAAAGTTCCACAAAGGAACTGGCTTTTTAACTGGTGAGTAGATACAAGTGACTCCTTTCAAGAACCTCACTGCCATGGGGTTTGAAAACAATGTCTTCCCATGGATAGGAGGATGAAATGCCGAAACAGCCACCAGGTGGACTCTCAATAAAGTAAGTGCAAGACCAGAAGAGTGAAAGTGTAACAAGTACTCCAAGGTGTCCTGGATACAAGTCAGCATTGGTTG